TCTTTGTATGGTGTTGGTGTAAGATTAATACTGATTTCATAAAATCATTTGGGAAGGGTTCCCTTCTTTTCTGTTTTCTTGAAGGATTTGTGTAAAATTGGTGTTGTTATTTAAATGTGTGGTAGACTTGTCTCTTGAAATTGTCTGGGCCTGGAGAGCTCTTTTGTAGGAACTTGTAAATTACAATTTTATTCAGCAGAACATTGGAGAGAAAGTATTTTTTAAATTAACAACAACAAATAAATTACAACTTCAGTTTCTGTAGTGATTGATTAATAGAACTATTTAAATAGTTAAGTTTGGGTAGTTGGTAGTTTTTAAGGAATTGGTCCGTTTCTTCTAAGTTGTTTAATCTATGGGCATTATGAACAGTATTATAACATCATTTATAATATTTCTTTCTTCTTTTAATAGTTACAGGATCTGTAATATCCTCTATTTTGGACTGCTTTGGGTGATTTGTGCCTTTTCACTTCATCTCTGTCTTGCTAAACGTTTATCAGTGTTTTGTTTTTTTTTCTTTTCAAGAAACCAGCCTTTTGGGTTTTTTATTTTATTACTATTTTTTTTGAGATAGGGTTTCATTCTGTCCCCCAGGCTGGAGTGCAGTGGTGCAATTATGGCTCACTGCACCCTTAACCCACCAGGCTCAAGCAATCCTCCCACTTTGGCCTCCCAAGTAATTGGGATTACAGATGTGTGTCACCATGCCTTGCTAATTTTTTGTAGAGATGGGGTATTGTCATATTACCCAGGCTGGTCTCGAATTCCTGGGCACTAGTGATCTGCCTGCTCCGACCTCCCAAAGTGTTAGGATTAGAGGCGTGAGCCACTGCACTCAGCCAAAACCAGCTTTTTGTTTCACACAGTTTTGTCTATTGCTTTTCTGTTTTTAATTTCATTGATTTCTGCTCTTATTATTTCCTTCCTTCTGCTTGTTTTAGGTTTATTTTCTCTTCTTTTTTTAGGTTCTTGAAAGAAGAACTTAGATTATTAATTTCAGACCTTTGCTTTTTATTAATGTAAGCATTTAGTGCTATAAATTTCCCAACAGACACTGCTTTAGCTGCATCTCATAACATTTAACGTGTTATATTTTCATTTCAATTAATCTATGTCTTTGAGACTTTTTTGTTGGCCCATGGGCTACTTACAAGTATGTTATTTAATTTCTAAGTAGGGATTTTTCTTCTTTCTGTTATGATTTTTAATTTTACTCCATTACGGTCAGAGAATGTATTATGTAGGATTTCAGTTCTTTTCAATTTGTTGGGGTTTTTGTTATTGTTGGGGATTTTTGATCCAGAATGTGGTATACTTCAGTAAATACTTCATGGGCCCTTGAAAAGTATTTGTATTCTCACTGTTTATTAGAACATTGTATTCTCCCTTCTGAGGTAGAGTATTCTATAAAGGTCATTTATACCTTGTTCGTTGGTATTGTTCAGTTCTTTTGTACCTTTACTGATTTTTATCTAATATTTCTATCAATTGGTGAGAGGGGGGTATTGAAATCCCCAGCTCTGTATATGGATTTGTCTGTTTTTCGTTTCAGCTCTATCCGTTTTTGTTTTACATATTTTAAAGCTCTGTTGTTTAATGTATACACATCTATCACAATGTTTTCTTGGTAGATTGATAGTTTTATGATAATGTAACATCCCTCTTTGTAATAATTTTTTTGCTTTGAAGTTTACTTTATCTGATGTTAGTTTAGCCACTCCTGATTTTTTGGCTTTTTAGAGGCAAGGTCTCTCTCTTTTGCCTAGGCTGGAGTACATTCTCACGATCATAGCTCATTGTAATCTCCCAGCTCCTAGACTCAAGTGATCCTCCTGCCTCAGCCTCTTGAGTAGCTAGAACTACAGGCATGTGCCACCACACTCAGCTAATTTTATTTTTTGTAGACAAGGCTTCACTGTGTTGCCCATGCTGGTTGCAAACCGCTGGCCTCAAGCAATCTTCCTGCCTTGGCCTCCCAAAGTGCTGGGATTATATAGGAATAAGCCACCATGCTTAGCCCTGATTTTTTAAATTAATGTTTACATTACATATTTTTTCCCATCCTTTTATTTTTTTATTATGTTTGAAGTGAGTTTCTTATAGACAGCATGTATATTGGGTCTAATCCACGAATCTCTGCCTTTTAACTAGTGTATTTACATCATTTACCTTTAAAGTAATTATTGATACATTAGAGCTTAAGGGCCCAAAGATCTTTTTTTTTCTTTGACTTAAGATTCTTCTTACAGTCTTACCCATTTGACAATAACCACAAAATACAAGTCAAATTGATTTCTTGACAAGCGAGTGCATTAATATTTTACTACTATCTTAAGGAAAGACTTAACCATTATTCCAGTAATCTCTAGATTTCTTTAGAGCTCAGTCTGGCAAACTGATGCCTTGTTGCAGAGGCAGCTAATAGCCAATATTAGAGTATTTATTGATTATTATAGCTATAAGTATAGCTAGCTTCTGATGGATGATCTGGATTCTTAAAGAAGCTAGAAACCTCATCACAATCAAGCAGTAATCTAAGAGCTTGATTAACATTGGCCAGATTATTTCACAGAACTCTTCCTTCTGACAAAAATGAAGATCTGCCGATTAGTGTATTTTCTTTTCAATTTATATATGTTTGATTCTAAAGGAAATTGAGTAGATTTTAGGTTCAGCATTTATTTATTGTTATAACCTGAACCTTGCTAAACTAACTCCCAACTTCCATTTTACTGAACAAATACCCCTTATAAAACCATAACTTGTTTTAGAAACAATTAGACATCAGTTAGGATGGCATCCTGTATATTTGTTCCTCTAAGGTTCTTTGCACCTCCCAGTCTGTGTCAAGATCCTGTATTAAGCTCAGACTTATCATAGTCAACATAAGAATAAACTGACAGTTGATTTGACAGTATTATAAACAGAGGTACAATTCATTTGAATACTACCTCCCAAGGGAAACACCTTGAAGATAATATTCCTTTAGCTAAGTTTAGGTGTTTTGGGGGGTATCTTTACATATATAATCACACCTTATATACTATTTTTGAAAATCATTCCAGACAGTTGCAATTCATTGTCCCAAGGTGAAATATTATGGCTCTGATGAAGATGTGGTTTGTGGATTCCAAATCATAGTCATCACTGTGTTTCTTTGGCTCTCTGTGTCATGATCTTCTTGAAGCAATCTCAAATGTTCGTTTTCATGTTAATACACCTAGACTTATGGATTGGAGGACAGAGACATTTTATTTTTCATTTTTGTATCCCCAATACCTGGCATCTAGAGGACATACAGTAAACTTATAGAGTGAATTGGGGTAATATACGGGAGAGCTTGAGCTTTGGCCCTGTGTAAGTCAGTGTCCTGTTCTGATAGACTGAGGATTCTTGATCTGTAATAATAGATAGAATTATAATGAGTAGAAGTTATTTTGGATGACATTGTTTAAAGTTGTTTTTGGTGTTTAAAGGATAAAAAAATTTTTTTACAAATACATTTTTTGACTTGTCATGGATTTGACCTACTTCTTTATATTTATTTCATCTTGTTTAATTCCTATAACCATTCTGAAGGGAATTCCATAGGAAAGGAAATATGAATAATCTAATATGAAATGTTCCTATCACTGGTTTTTCACATATATTCAAACTAACCAGATACACAAAAGTAATTTAATGGCAATGATTAATAGTATGCTTAGCTCTGAAGTAAAGTCATGATGTTATGTTTGAAATTTTCAACGTGTGCCTTATTAGAAAATGAGGTTTAAGTTCAGCAATAGATTTCCACCTGAGAAAATAGACGTGAATAAAGAACTTCTTTGTATGTTATAATTCAGACTTTTGTTTTCAATATGAGCTATGACAAAACTATTGAAGAAAGGAAGAAGGTACTGGGACTTAAAGTTTCTATTAAAATACAGTATTATTGACATTAAATTATATCATTCCTTTTTATTTTATATGAGCTTGATAATCTCCTTAGTAAAAAGCTCACATTATTTCTTTGAAGGTATTTGACCAAACATGATTTTTTGGAAATGAATGTTTAGATGATCTGTGTTTCTTTCTGAGAATAGTTTGAGGAAATAAAGCTTCCTACTACCCTAAGTAAAAGCCCTATTTGAAATCCAACATGTGGCACTAACTTATGTAGTCTTATCAATTGGGTTTCCCTGTCATTGATTTGATTTTTTTTCTTTTATGATTTGATTTGTTGTAGTCCAGTTTTGAATGATGGATTTTACGTCCAGAAATTTCCTCTAGAATACATATTTCTTTGTTTAATTCTGTAGTGCCTGTCATCAGGAGGAATAGGCAAGAAGTTGAGATTCAGAGGGGTGCCACATTGGTAATTTGGCTCACATTGCATGGGGAGAATAATCTCTTTCCTAAAATGAAGCACGAGGATAAGTAATAACTTTTTATGCATGATAAGCATCAAAAATATGAACCTGCTGGTCTTTGCTTTTCATTTTTCTTTACCTCTCACTTTCAGTGTGAACCTCCTGCAGTGTGCACACAATGTGATCAATAACTCAATAACTTTTTTCATGCAGTAATTATCTCCATGTGATATTATCTGAACACTGTTTTTCTTTATTACTCAAGAGATGCAGGAGATATTTATGTAACCAGCTGATCCCATTTTGGATAAAGGTTCTTTGTGACAGTGGGGGGAAATAGTTTATTTTAAATAGCCTTTTAAAATAAATGCTCTATGAAAAGCTTTTCCAGTTAACTTTCACTTAGCATGAGAAGGTGATTACCAAAAAGATTTAGTTCTTAAACTTGTACTTTGTAGGTTTTACGGTATGATGATCTTTCTTTCTAGCTTCTAATAAACACAATTTAAGTTAAAATATTGAACCATTTAACATAACCATAACTTTTCTCCGATTCTTCATAATAAGTATTTATTTACCAATGTATGAGCTAAACACATACAAGTTCTGCCATCTCTGAACATCTCACAGAGATTCTCATTCTAGGTAGAGATCCTACAAGAATCCCGGATGATGATCCCAGATTGCCAGCGCAGGTTGGAAGCTGCATATTTGGATCTTCAACAGATATTAGTAAGTACAGACTTCTGTGTCTTATATTTAAAAACCTTTTTTTCAATCCAATACATGGAAAGCCAAAAGTTTAAATATTTAACACTGAGAATTAGTGGTGGTATTTCTTATTCACTTGCCCTTTATGCTACTATATTTTAAAATAATTAATGGTGTCTAAATTGTGTTTTAAGTTATGTTCCTGTAAAAGTACTATTTTCTGCCATGCTTCTTCAATTTACTAAAATTTAGCTAGTTAAATTTAAGTTATGATAGTACCAGTATTGTCCAGCAATGTCTTGATTATTTGGTTTTCATACATAACTATCTTTTGACACATTGAGGATGAGTTGACTGAAGTTTTAAAAGAACTAATGTTTCAAAAGAATTTGGGCTGTTATTAAAAGGATCTGAAATTATTTCACATTCAACCCTAAATCAATTTGAGAGAGGGGGAAAAACCTGGTAATTTAGGTAGTTTCCTCATATTAACTTGGAGATGGATAACAATTATACTTGCTGGTATAAATGCCTTGTGATACAGAAGGTAAATAAAGCAGGAAATAATAACTGTTAAAATACTATCTAAGACAGGAAATACCATTTGTATTTCTTGACAGTTAAATGCTTTTTTCTCTCATGAATTTAGTAGTTGAGAAAATAATAGAAATTGCTTGAAAAAAATAATGGCTTTGGATGACACATTTGTGTGTGAGTAACGGTATCTCTGCCCTTGAAGAGCTTACATTTACTAACAGAAAACAAAGATGTGTTTAAGGTATAATGCAGAGGTTTAACAAATTCTTACCTATAGTTTGAGCTAAGCAAATTCTCCATCCTTTTGCTTTAAGTTTTCATATTAAATTCACACATACTTTATTTCATCTACTCTCTGTTTGTATATCTCCATCTTTTATTGACCTGACATAAATTGCTAACCATAGCTTCATTTAAAAATCAAACAAAATTTCCTATGTAGAGAAATTCAGATTATTTCATTTGTCTATTATCAATACAATATATAAGTAAAACTTTCCTGTATATCATTATTATGGAAAAACTCAATCTTTAAATATCAGAAAATAAACAATGTGTTTTATTTCCTTTGTGTAAGGTATATACCTATTAGCAAGCAGGCAATTCATTTGTTTAATTCAAAAATTATATTTAACTCTGTTGTGACATCGGAAGCCTTCTTTGTCATTGTGAATAGTTGGAGGATTATTTTGGCCTGAATGCTGTTTCATATATGTAACATGTTTAGTAAATTTTCCTTTTATACTTTTCTCTTTTGTATGATGATGATGGGTCAACAAAATGAGAATAAACTTTTCCGAGGTTTTTCATTTAATTAATGCTGATAGCTTTAGATGACTGTGTTATTCACTTACTATATGAGAATATATACAGTGAAACAAAACCAGTAGTTATTTCTTCCTTTCCTTGTAAAGAAGGAGCAGAATGTGGGAAACCTGTGGAATTCCAATATATTTACATGAAGCTTGGGATTTTTTTACTTTTAATTTTTTAGTGATTTACATTAATGGTTTGTAATTTTGAGTAAATAACAAAGTACTGAACTTTGAAAAGGATAAACTTAATTTTATTGTATTTCATTTTAGGAAAATGAAAAAGACCTGGAAGAAGCTGAGGAATATAAAGAAGCACGTTTAGTACTGGATTCAATGAAGTTAGAAGCCTGAAACTTTTCTTGTATGGGGTGGTTTTTACATTAAATCTGGGGTTCATTTTACAATTCATTGTTTTTAACCACTGCTGTGTGTTAAAGTAGTATGAGAATGTGATTGTTTTTCTCTGGTTACATACATATTTCTTTGTCTAATTCAATATGTCAAATAAATGAGTGTGTCTAATAAAATTGTTTATTTCATACTTTATAAAACTTTTTAATTAACCTTTTATCATTAAATCACATAGAGTTTATGACAGAGAACTATAATCTGTTAGGTTCCATTCGAAGTCTATGTATTTTGCTTCATAAGCATGAATTGAGTTTTAAAAATAGGATACCATTTTTTCAGATAAGAATCCAAATTTTAGCCAGGTGTAGTGGTGCATCCTGTATTCCCAGCTACTGGGGAGGCGGAGGTGGTAGGATTGCTTGAGCCCAGTAGTGTGCGGATATAGTAAGGTATGATTATGCCACTGTACTCCAGCCTAGGCAACATAGCAAGACCTTATCTCTAAAAGATTGCATTTTAAGCGGTTTATTTGGAATGGAGTACAACTGATATAAAAGAACTCATTTTGGATAAGCCTCACATAAGGCCTTCACAGTGAAAGTCTAACATTTCCATTACTGTAAATGAATGAGAAACATTTAAATCTTTTTCCAGGACAGATTCACACAAAAAACACCCAACCATTTTGATCTTCAAGAAAGATTCTTATGAACGAGGGAGAGTTGAATGGTCTTTTAAAACAATAATGGCTGTTGCTAGTGAAGTGCTGGCAAATATTTAAAGACTCTTCAGAATCGGAGGGGAACCTCTTATTGGTAGATTTTGCCGATTTCTGTGGTATAAATACTCCTACTGTGACCAATTTCAAACTACTAATATGACATCACTGAACACAGTTATGAAAATTTGGGCAAGCTCCAGCATACTTTGGCTGTAGCCCAATCTTGATTATCTAGATTGAGTCGGGGCGTAGGGGGAGTACCATTTTGTCAGAAAGTATTTTTTCGGTACAGTTGTGACCCTGTTACCCAATCATTTGAGTTTATTTTCCAAAAATACATGACAATTCATTTAGATTTTTTATATTTCCAGAAAATGTGTGTGAGTCTTATCGTCAGCCCTAATGGGCATTGATATAAGGAACCAAATATGTATATATAGCATTTAAACTTTAAAAGTCAAAATTGGAAAAAAATAAAACTTGAGTTTTTGCTGCATTAAATACTTAGAGTTGTAGTATGGTTGATATTATTTTGGAAGTTCCAGATAATCACTAGAAATCATGACTTAATTATTGAATCTCTCCAAAGATTAGAAAAGAGAAAAATAATTTTTTTCTAAGTTACTTCTAAAGGTTCTGTTGTTATAAATCATAGAGTATATCACTTATAAAATAAACTTATTTACACATGTCAAAAATTACTTCTTAAGAGAATAACATATCAGAAGCATTTCTAAATTGGAATGTCATCCCAAAACATATTACATGGCATTTTAAAAATATTTGAGGTGGGAAAAGGAAAAGTGAATGTCATCCCAAAACATATTACATGGCATTTTAAAAATATTTGAGGTGGGAATAGGAAAAGTTGAGAAAATAAAAAGCAACTGTAATTATAGTGTAAAATTTGAGATTAAGGTTTAGTGTTAGATATTTGACTACCAAGAGAATTAGATTATTTTGTGATTGCCATCAAGTACCAGAGCAATAGATTGGTTTGGGAAGGGGTGAGGGGTGGAGGTGGGGGTAGGGCACTAATATTTAGTTTTCCAAGTAGTATTTCATTTAAAGAAACTATTCTGGTGTATATATATATATATATATATACACACACACACACACATATGTATTTCCATTGCAAATGGTTTATTAACCAATTAAAGCTTAAAGAGAACAGAACACTAAGATATATATAGATATAGACTCACATGTATAAGTTTTGCAGCAAGGACCCAAATTTTGGTTACCAAAAAAATTACTTTGTTGCCAAAAGGCCTAGAAAAGAAGAAATCAATATTGAGATAAATGCAAAAAAAAGAATACATCTTTATTGGCTGGGCACGGTGGCTCACTTTTGTAATCCTAGCACTTGGGGAGGCCGAGGCAGGCAGATCACCTAAGGTCAGGAGTTCGTGAACAGCTGGCCAACATGGTGAAACCCCATCTCTACTAAAAATACAAAAATTAGCCGGGCGTGGAGGCATTTGCCTGTAAAGAGAAAGAGAACTCTTGAGAGAGAGAGAGAGAGAGCGAGAAAGAAAGAAAAATCTTTAGAGAATTCCTGTCTCAACTATAGATTTTATACTGGATCACTGTCCACAAGTATCAATAAGAAGCACAAGAGGCTTAACAACATGTGAAGGCTTTATGTCTGGGAGTTTTTCATACATTCTGTTTAGGTTTTCATGGCCATCAATAAGAATATTAAAATAAGAGCAGCTGTAATCAATTCAGCATCTTGTTTTTAAGTTTTATTTAAATGCTTATATCTGTATAATAGGTAGAAATTGCCAAGTAATTTTGCCTCTTTTTCTTCCTGCCCCAACACCTGAGGCCTCAATGAACATATTGTATAGTAGTTGTCTAGTAAACATGTAGGTTGAATGAAAAGCAAGAACAAGGCCGGGCGCGGTGGCTCACGCCTGTAATCCCAGCACTTTGGGAGCCAAGGCGGGTGGATCACGAGGTCAAGATATCGAGACCATCCTGGTCAACGTGGTGAAACCCCGTCTCTACTAAAGATACAAAAAATTGGCTGGGCATGGTGGCACGTGCCTGTAATCCCAGCTACTCAGGAGGCTGAGGCAGGAGAATTGCCTGAACCCAGGAGGCAGAGGTTGCGGTGAGCTGAGATCGCGCCATTGCACTCCAGCCTGGGTAACGGGAGCGAAACTCCGTCTCAAAAAAAAAAAAAGAAAAGCAAGAACATCTTTGACCTCTGCAATGAGAGAAAGAATGCCAAGGATTCCATCACATTGCAGACATGTTTAATACAGTGCCTTTCCCACTGCTTTGACTGCAAACCACAATAAGAAACACACTTTACATTGTGAGGCAGGGCATATATATGAATGTGTGTGTATATATACAATACGTGTTCTTACTGTGTACAATTCCTACCTGCTATTGGGTGGTGAAAAACACTACCCAAATACAGTAATATAAAATTATTCTATTATTCTATTTGTGAAAATTTTACACACACAGACATATAAACTTCTTAGGTATCAGATCAGTTGTCTCAGTGAACATGTGCAAAGTCCTACACATTGCAGGTATAAAATGTCATGGTAAAGTGTAACCACTTACCATTTGTGGTATATCCCGAGTCCTTGCACAGACAAATACAAAGGCTTCCATAGGGAACACTGGCTAAACAAAGGCATACATGTGACATTTACTAGTAGTAAACCTAACATCTGTATTTTTCTGTATAGCAAAGGTCACATCATTTCTAAGTAAGAATATGCATAGGATAAATAAATAAAAATATGAAGTATGGAGTCAGTAAAGTGACCAAATCCAGGCTTGTTTTCATGCCATTAAGAATATCCCCAAGTCCTAACATCTTTACTTATACATCCTTGGCCTATGGGCAAATCAGTCCTAGTAAATCAAAATACTCCCTCAGTGATCCTGGACAGGGACTTTCTGGCTGTGCTTTTGGGACATTTATATTTCTGGTTGAGCATCAACATCCCAAGAACTAGATTGCCTTTCCTTTCTCATGTTTTGTGCCATGTTATGTAAGTAGTTCTTCGCAGGGACTGAAACTTGTGCGGAGGCGAGAAAAGGCACACTGCTAAAATAAGCACACGTTTATTTTATGAATAATGAAAACTAGCTAAAGCAATATATTGTAATGTTCATTTAACATTTCTCAACTTTCTGGTCAGCAACATTCAAAGCCTAATATTTTTAAATTGCCTTTATACCTGTACCTGTGCCCTGAATCATTTCCAAATTGAGCAGTCAAACCTGTTTAATCTAAATCATTTTGCAAACTTCATTACATTACTTGGCTTTTTAAAAATCCTATCAAATTTAATAAGGACATATCCTACAGCTAGTCATCACTTAAATCTTATTATTTGGTCATTTAGACAAACCAAGGACAGATTAATTCTTTCTTTGATGGCGTTAAGGCCTTTAAATGTCAGTGTAAACTTGATGAGTACATGGGAGCCAGAGCTGTTAGGCATTTGGTATTAAAGGGTTAATCAGATCATTTAGTCCCTGAAGCCTCTTTGAGTGCTGTAGCTGGAAAGAAATTGAATGGTTTAGAAATGCTATACTATGAGACAAGTTATAAGTATTATTGTACTTGAAATTTTCAAGAGTGCTTAATAAAAATCTACATTGCTCTCCGCTATTCATCTTACTACTCTTACAATATGAGAGGGATTTGCTCATGTATTGGACTGTTGCACAGAAAGGTATAATTAATCTATGTTACAGTAGATCTGTAGCTTTCTTTTATTTTGTGCTTTTTGTTGGCTGCTGGATAGTTGACAAGGTGCTTTTAAAATCTTGGAGAAAAATATTTTTAATATGTCACAAGAAGTTAAGATTTTCAATGCACGAGAGCTCTTTCAAATTAATTAAAAACCTTCAGTATAAAAAGAAAACAAAGGATAGAAACACATAGTTCACGGAAGAAGAAATACAAGCGGATGGTATTTTCAAATGTTCCACTCCAGTAGTAACCATACTCAGATTTTAAAAACAATAAAGCAAATTTTTTAAGGATAGTGAATACCTCTTGTCTAGGTGTGATAAAGTACTAGCCAATGAACTTAGATAAGAAGATGAAATGAGAAATAAATATTGGAAAAGAGACATCATTTTCATTATATGCAGATGGTAAGCTGTGCACCAGAAAAACACCAGTCATGTGTGAAATAATCAGAAACAATGAGGAAATTAAAATGAGTACTTACATGATGTGTAGAACTGTTATGGGTTGAATTATGTCATCCAAAAAAATATGTTGAAGCCCTAGCCCCCAATAACCTCGGGATGAAACCCTATTTGGAAACAGGTCCTTGCAGAAATAGTTGAGATAAGGTTTTAACTTACTAGAGTAGGGTGGGCCTTTAACTCAATATGACTGATGTATAAATAAGAAGACACTGAAGACACAGTGCGATGCCCATATGACAACATAGAGTTATG